TGTAAATTTTGGTCAATGATATGAGACAAAGTATATGTGAGCTGCTGTATGAAAAGTGAATTTACTCTGTAAATCTTCACCCAAATACTAATAAAAAAAAAAAAAAAAAATCACAAAACACTGCATGGTGTCAACTAATAAAGGTTTTTTTCAAGTTTTAGTTAATTTTGGTTTTTGCCTTACAACTATATTTAATAGAGAGTCTTCAAAGACAAAATAGAAGAAAGCTATAGAAGCCCCCAAAAAACAAAATACAACCCCAGCACCACAGAGTTGATCCTAACTCATAGTGACCTCATTGGGTTTCCAAAGTGCTAAATATTTATGGAAATAGATCACTCTGTCTTCCTTCCATGGAGAAGCTGGTGGGTTTGAACTGCCAACTTTCTGTTTAGCAGTCAAATGCCTTAGGCACTGTGCCACCCAAGCTCCTCGTGCAAGCCTAAGTCATAAATAGTGGGATTCTAGGTCCAGTGACAGGCTGGTAGGGAGGTATTTTGGACAAGGTGTGCCCACCCAGCACCTCTCACCACTAGGAGACCAAAGTTCTTGAAAGCAGCCATGGGGAATGGGTGGATTGTCCTCAGTCTGGCTCTCCCAAGCTGAGCTGGCAAAGTCAGAATCACAGCAGGGAGACTGGGTCCACTCAATGAGGGCGTATCCCCCTGCAGGAGTGTTGTGCAGCCATAACAAATTAGTTTGTCAAACAATTTCAAATGACATGTGACAATCCACATATATTGCTAAGTAAAAAATCAACTAGGACACAAAACTATATTAAGTATCTGGAAAAAGAAGAGTATGTACTAAAAAATATGAAGGATAAGTATACGGACAATGTGTATAATCTAGTTGGTGGAACTATTATTGGTAATTCCATCTTTTTTTGATCCATGTTTATATTTTCCAATTTTTTTTACAGTGAGTTCTATTATTTTTAAAAGAATGTCCCCTCCTCCCCACCCACCTCATGATCTCACACTGCCAGCCAGTGAGAGAGGAGGTATCTGCACCCCTGTCCTGTGCAAAGGACAGGTCTGAGCTGGGGCCAGTCCTGAATGTGCCCAGGGGTGTGGTTGCCACTTCCCACTTCCAGGGGGCCTGAGAAGGGCACAGGAAATGAGTTCCAGAGCCCATTGTCCCTCTTTGCCTGGCAGATGGAGATTAGTTCCAGCTGAAGGGTTGAGTCCATCCATGAGTTGTCCCTCTGTCCAACCTCCCATCTTTTTTTTAAAAACTTTTTTAAAAAATTTTGGTAAGATATATATAACAAAATATTTGCCATTTAAATATTTTTTACTTGAATATAATATTAATTATGTTCACTATGTTGTTCAACTATCACCACTATCCATTTCCAAATTTTGGCATCACCCATAACAGAAACTCATTTCCCTTTAAATAATAACTCCCCTTTCCACCTTCCACCAGCCTTTGATAAACTAGATAAACTAATAAACCACTAATAAACTTTGGTCTCTGTGCATTTGCCTAGCCAAGATATGTCTGCCTTAATTCATATCCACAGGTTCAGATGCACAGCTCTCAATCCTGACTGCAGAAAAGAGTCACATAGGGAACTTAAAAATAAGACCAGTGCCTCAGTACCACCCAGAACAGTGAGAGTCAGGAATCTCTGGGTCTTTTTAGAAAAGTGATTCTAAAGGGTAGTCAAGGTTAAGTGATTCTTAACCTTGTTCCAAGTGATTCTAAAGGGTAGTCAAAGTTAAGACCTGCTGAGCTCTCACCCATGAGGGTCACTCCCATATCTCTCCCTAAGACTACAACCGCACTCAGTCTTCCTGAGCTGCCCCCTCTTCCTGTAATCCCAGCTCAGGGACTCTCTCAGTTTAGCATGAGGACACCTGGAAAAATGACCAGGACTCAAATGTCTAAACCAGTGAACGTAAATCTCAGGCCAGTGCAGAGCCACTGTGGGACAAGAAGCTCTGCTCACCACATTCACCTACTGGTCATGGGAAAATGCAAGTTCTGCAAAATAATGCCTTCTACCTGCCCCTCACACAATGACAGAACATCCCCTCCTTCCAACTATACTTTAGCTTCCAGACACCCACACACATATACCAGCATCTGGAGGCTCTGTAGTTTATCCATCCTAACACTCAAAGGAAGAATGCTGATCCCATCTCCCAGCATCTGCCCCAGGACCAACTCACTGCTTGCTCTCTGCCTCTGGAGACCCAGTCAGGGGAAAACCATACTCACCAGGATAGTGAGGATCACAGGACCTCGGATGACCCACCAGACAGATGCATTGGCATTGATGTCCCAGCACCTATGGGAGGGAGAACCAGGCACAGTCAGGGGTTTGGTTGACCAGGAAAGGAATATTCCCTGAGGTGACCCTACCTACAAAGGACCCTCATCTGTGACCCTGAGCCTTGCAGGTGTGCTCAGCATATCACAGCCTATCCCTCTCTTGCTGCCTATGGGTGCTGCTGGGAGGCATGGATGCAGCCTCATCCCCACACAGGGCTCAGGGAGCATCTGTGAAGCAGACATATGTAGAAACTGAGAGCTGGAAGATCCCTAGACCCCAAAGCTACCACCTCATAGTCAGAATTCACTGGGGAGCTCAATGGCAAGCTCAACTGCCAAGAGAGTGAGTGATGTGGCCGGGTGACTGACACAGGACCTCAAGAACCTGGGACATCAGTGTGAGGTAACTGACAAATTAGAGAGCATAGGCCTGGTCCAAGGCAGCCTCAACTCTTCTCTAGCTGATTTTTGCCACAAGAGGAAATGAGAAATGTTGATAGAACTTTCCATTTTTCTAGAGAAGCTGAAATTTAAATTTAAAAAGTGAAATTACCCAACTAAAAAAAATTATTTTGTAACAAAACAAGTTGGTAAGCTGAATTTGGACAGTAAGACACTTGTATAGCTCATCCAATCTTGTGCTTGGTTGTGGCATTATCTAGATGAAAGGCTGACCCCCACTATCTCACATCTCACTTCTTCTCTGGTGCCTTTCTAGATTTCTGTTCATGTGTTTACTCCCAAATGGGCCTCCCTGGATTAACTTCCACCCAGAATGCCTACACCCCACTTTAGAGAACAAAACTGAAATCTCTGGCTTGTCCCCATCCCTGCCACACCTGGTGGTGTTGAAAATGCTGCTGTTCTGCTTTTTGCCTGGCATGCATGACTGAAACACGTAAGGGAAGGAAGAGGTTCTGGAAGGAGATTCCAGGAGGAAAACAAGGTTGGGCTGGCTCTTTTCTGAGTGTCCTCCTCTAAGAAACACTGTCTGGCATGTCCTAAATCTTATTAGGTACATGACCTCACCACAGAACTGGCAGGGCAGGCAAGGAGAGGAGGCCTGGCAGGGTACAGGCCTGCAGAAGGTGCTCAGCACATCTGGAACCTCCCGGTGTGTCCTGATCTGGGGCATGCTGGGTGTTCTGCAGCCTGCCATGCTAGGGAATTCTCCTGTGGCCCTCAACATGAGAATCAGGCTTTCCCTGGAGAGCCCCCAAAAAGGATCTATCCTGGACCATGTAAAAAATACCTCTCCTTTCTACAGCTTACCCAACATCTTCCAGAAAGTGCCTGGTGATAGCCCACGAAGTAACAAAGATAGCTGGGGAACCTGAGGATTGAAAATAGGGGTAGAGGGTAGAGGAATACATTTATGAGGAACAGGACAATCAGTTATCACCCAAACTAGCTACTGACCAGATACCATTTGGTTTCCATGCAAATTCCTTTCTATCTTGTGTAAATGGAAAACCATATTCTTATTCTTATTCTTATTTTTTTACATTTTTATTGTGATTTGGGTGAAAGTTTACAGAGCAAATTCATTTCCCATACAGCAGTTCATACACATTTTGCCTCATGGCATTGACTGCAATTTCCCACAATGTAACAGCTCTCTTCCCACTTCCTTTCATCCCATGTACTCCCTCCCCCCAGCTGTCTTCCTGTGCAAAATTGCCCTTCTGTTCTCCATGATCAATTGCTCTAAGTCGTGTATCTACCTGATGTAAATGTTCACCCCATATGCCTGTCTATTGTTTGGCTGGAAGCCCCGGGAGTGAGTTCAATTCCAGACCTGAAGGATGGCTAGGGGCCATAGTCTCAGGGGTGTCACTAGGCTCTCTATCAGACCAACAAACCTGGCCTTTTTTTTTTTTTAATTTTGTTCCATATTGTTCTCCCACTCTATCTAGGATCTCCTGCACTGATCCCTCTGAGTAGTTAACAGTGGTAGCTGGGCACCATCCAGTTCTTCTTGTCTCAGGGTCACATAGGCTGAGAATTCCATGGCCCACCAGTCCCTTGGACTAATTATTTCCATGCATCTTTCCATGTTTTCTTCCTTCTTTGCTCTGGATGAGGAAAGACGCATTGTTGCATCTAGATGGCTGTTTGCAAGCCTTTAAGATCCTGGTCACTACTCACCAAAGTAGGATGTAGAACGATGTTTTTGTGTAGTATGTTATGCCTATTGCGCTTGATGTCCCCTGAAACCATGGTCCTGAGTCAACAGATTCAACTACTTGCTCCCTCTGGGTAGCTGACTGTGGCCAAGAACCAACCACAACTTTGCCTCTTGTCAGCTCCACTATACACTTGGACATTCTTACAGCACACACACACACGCATGTAGAAGCATTGTCTGCTAACCTTATACATGGGCATGTGCACACTACCCCCTGCCTAGACATACCTTTTCATTCAACCTGTCCACCAGTCTCTCCACCTGTAGATCACTGTTTGTCATCTCTAACAATGTAGGACTGTATATGCAAAAGGGTTAATCTTTGTTGTCTGTACATCCCATGTACCTCTTTATGTCTTGCTCTTCCTCAATGCCACTGTGTGGATCACTCACATTTGGTACATTGCCCTTCCCTTCACCCAAATCAATACTTCTAACTAACTAGCAGTGTTCCCTCCCTTCCTTTCCCACCCCTGGTAACCAACAAAGAAAGTTTCATTCCATATATAAACATTTCCTTGTCTTTTTACAATAATGAACTAATACTATATTTGTCCTTCTGTGATTGACTTATTTCACTCAACATTATGTCCTCCAGGTTCATCCACGTTATGTGGTGTTTTGTAGATTCTACATTATTCTTTATCATTATTTATTTATTTATATTTTTGCAGTGTTCCTTCCCCTCTCCTCACATCCCCCTCAAAACTCTCCAAACTCACTGCCATCAAGTCAGATCCGACTTATAGTGATCCCTCCTTGGATTTCCTAGGCAGTATCACTATGGAAGTAGATTGTCCAACCCTCCTTCCGAGGTGTGGCTGGTGGATTTGAACCACTAGCCTTCTGGTTGATAGTCAAGTGCCTTAGGCACTACGACCCCAGAACTCCCACTCCTAGTAACAAAAAGGAAAGTTTTCTTCTGTATATAAACCTTCCTATGACTTTTTACATTAAAGAGCTAATGCTGTATTTGTTCTTCTGTGATTGACTTATTTCACTCAGCATAATGTCCTCCAAGTCCCTCCATGTTATAAAGTGTTTTGCAGATTCTATGTTATTCTTTACTGTTGCATGTTATTCCACTGTGTGTGTGTACTACAGTTTAGTTATCCATTCTTCTGTTGATGGGCACCTAGGTTGTTTCCATCTTTTTGCTATTGTAAAAAGTGCTGTGATGAACATGGGTGTGCACATATCTGTTCTTGTCCTGGCTCTCACTTCTTCAGGATATATACCTAGAAATAGGATTGCTTGATCAAATGGTATCATTAATTCCAACTTTTTAAGAATCACCATACAGCTTTCCACAGTGGTTGTATCATTTTACAGTTCCACCAGCAGTGTATGAGAGTCCCAATCTCTCTACATCCTCATCAGTATTTGTTATTTTCTGTCTTGTTGAACTTTGCTATTAGTGCTGGGGCCAGATGGCATCTCACTGTTGTTTTGATTTGCATCTCTGTAATAGCTAATGATTGTGAACATTTAATTATGTGCTTGTTGACTGTTTGAATATTCTCTTTGGTGAAGTGTCTATTCATGTCTTCTGCCCATTTTTAAATTGGTTTGTCTTTTGTTGTTGAGTTGTTGGAGTTTTCTATAAATTTTAGAAATAAGACCCTTGTCAGATACGTCATTGCCAAATATTTTTTTCCAAATCTGTAGTTTCTCTTTTTACTCTTTCGGAGGAGTCTTTGGAAACACATAAAAATTTAATTTTTAGAAGTTCCCAATCATCAAATTTATCTTCTGGTGTTTGTGCCTTTTAGGTGATGTTTGATAGTATTTATGCCATAAATTAAACCAAAAACCAAACTCATTGCCATTGAATTGATTCTGACTCATGGTGACCCCCTTTGGGTTTCCAAGGCAATAAATATTTACAGAATTAGATTGCCCAGTCTTCCATAAATTAAAACCCACCCACTGCCATCAAGTTGACCCCTCCTTGGGTTTCCGAGGCAGTATCACTACGGAAATAGATTGCCCAACCTTCCTTCCAAGGAGTGGCTGGTGGGTTTGAACTGCCAGCCTTCTGGTTAGCAGTCAAATGACTTAGGCACTACGTCACCAGAGCTCCCTTCTATAAATTAGGGCCCCTAAATTTGCCCTGATTTTTTTCCTTGAGAAACTTTATAGTTTTGGGTTTCACATCTAAGTTTTTTATCCATCTGGAGTTAGTTTTTGTGTATGATGTGAGGTATGGATCTTGTTTCATTTTTCTGCAAGTGGATATCCAGTTTTGCCAGCACCATTTGTTAAAGAGACAATCTCTTCCCCATTTAATGGATTTCAGCCCTTTGTCAAAAATCAGCTGACCACAGGTCAATGGATCTATTTCTGGGTTCTCAATTCTATTCCACTGGTCTATGTGTCTGTCATTGTATCAATACCAGGCTGTTTTGACTACTGTGGTTGTGTAGTAGTTTTGAGATCCAAGAGTGTGAGACCTCCTACTTTGTTCTTCTTCAATAGTGCTTTGCTTATCCTAGGTCTCTTTCCTTTCCATATAAAATTAGTGATTTTTCCCCCATATCCTTAAAGAATGTTGATAGGATCAGGACTGGGATTGCAGTGAATGTATAGATTGGACAGGCATATTCTTTAAGGGTACAGGGATGTCCTGGAAACTGATCCTGGATCCGACTTATCCTGAAGGCCACTTGGGGGTAGAGATCTCTTGGAAGGCTGGGCCAGACCCCAGTGGATCTCTGCAAAGGAAGGGGACATGGAAACCCCTGAGGAGGCTCCTGAAGCCTGTTGAAACAGTTGGTGGAACCTTCTTCTCTAACATGTTTGTTGATGGCACAAAACCAGGTGAGAAGCATTGGTTTTATTCAAATCTTGGTTTGAAAAATGCTTGGCCATATAATTGGTAATTTAAACTATCATTGTCATTTTTAAACAAAAATATATTATTGACTAGAGAATAAAAAGCACATATTTTTAAATATAAAATACAGAACATTTCCTGACTTCTGGTTAAACACGGCAAATTGAACTTACACATTTATCTCAATTTCTCCCTGAATCTTGTCTAAAATAACAGTTAAAAAAAAAAGAAGAAGAAGAAGAAGGAAATGGTCTAAACCCATATGCACAAAGAATGGGAAAGGAGAGAATAGTGATGAGATAGGTCAAACACATTTTAGTAATGTGGAAAGCTGCTGGAGGGGATAATTGGTTTTGCAGAGCAGAGAAAGGCAAAAAGGAAGTGCTGTGAAAGAACTTCTGCTGGGAGATTACTTGAGTGAGGCAGGAGAGAGGTTGGAGTTGGTGGGAGAGGTTGTTTGGAAGTCTGGATAAGAAATAGAGAACCACCCTAGGTGGCCACCACTACCCTGCCATGGCCAAATAGTCAGATGTGCAACCCACCCGAACCAAGGAGAACCAGGGCTCTGGGCCGGCAGAATGCCAATGGGATACTAAACCCCTAGAATGAAGTGATGGTCTATGTCTGTCCAGTACGGTAGCCACTCATATGTGGCTAGTGAGAACTTAAAATGTGGTTGGTCCAAAAGAGTTGGGCTGTAGGTTCAAGATACATTCCAAATTTCAAAGACTTAATATGAACAAAGCCAACACAAAAAAAATCAGTTGGGTTTCTATACACTGTTGTTGCTGTTGTTGTTATGTGCCGTCGAGTAGGACCCGACTCATAGCGACCCCTCCTTGGGTTTCCGAGGCACTATCACTACAGAAGTAGATTGCCCAGTACGCTAGCAATGAAAAATCTGAAAGAGAAATTAGGGAACAACTTGATTTAAAAGAGTATCTAAGAGAATGAGAGTTCTGGTGGTGTAGAGCCTAAGGCATTTGACTGCTGATCAGAAGGCTGGCGGTTCCAACCCACCAGCCACTCCTCAGAAGCAAAGTTGGGCAATCTACTTCCATGGTGATACTGCCTCAGAAACCCCAGGAAGGATCGTTATGAGTTGCATCCCACTGGACAGCAGTGGGTTTGTTTGTTTGTTTGTTTTTTGTATCCAAGCCACTCCTCGGAAGGAAGGTTGGGCAATCTACTTCCATAATGATACTGCCTTGGAAACCCAAGGAGTGGTTGCTATGAGTTGAGTCTGCCTCAACAGCACATAACAACAACAAGAGAATAAAATATCCAAAAATAAATATGACTAGGGATG